AGGCCTCGTGGATGGCTCTGGGTGGGCCCTCTTGGTGGTCTCTTGGGGGGGTCTGCCTGGCTTCTTGGGGGCCTCCTGGGAGCTTCCTGGGGGTCTCTTGGGGGCCTCTTGGGGCTTTCTTGCGGCCTGTTGGGGGCCTCTTGGGGCTCTCTTGGGGGCTTCGTGGGGCTACTTGGGGGCTTGTGTGGGGCATTTCGGGGGCGTGTTTTGGCGGGAGGCTCAAAATTTCCGTTCAGGTTGCCCTTGTGGACCTCAATCATGGGGCCGTCTTGGGGCCTCTTGGACCGTCTTGAGGGTTTCTTGGGTCTTCTTGGAGCGCTCTTGGGCCGTCCTTGAGCGGTCTTGAGGGTCTCTCGGGCCGTCTGGGGGTGATCTTGGGGGCCTCTTGGACTGCCTTGAAAGGTGTGACAGACGAAGAGGCGGATATGTCAACAATGCACGTTTCCCTAGGGGAACGAGACGATTTTTGCTTGTGGGAGCCCTCTTGGGACGCCGCTTAGGGGCCTCTTGGGGCGTCTTGAAGGCCTGTTGGGCCGTCTTGAGGCCATCGTAGGCGTTTGGGGGTGATATTTCGGCGTCTCCCGGCTCTCTTGGACCGTCTGGAGGGCTTCTCGGGCCCCTCTTGGACCGATTTAGAGCCCTCCTGGGCTCCGAAGAAGAGTTCTTGAGGGTTTGTTGGGCCTTCTTGGAGCGCTCTTGGGCCGTCTTTGAGCGGTCTTGAGGGTCTCTCGGGCCGTCTTGGGGTGATCTTGGGGGCCTCTTGGACCGCCTTGAAAGGTGTGAAAGACGAAGAGGCGGATATGTAAAAAATGCACGTTCTCCCAAGGGAACGAGTCGATTTTTGCTTGTGGGAGCCCTCTTGGGACGCCGCTTAGGGGCCTCTTAGGGACCTCTTGGGCCGTCTTGAAGGCTAGTTGGGCCGTCTTGAGGCCATCGTAGGCGTTTGGGAGTGATATTTCGGCGTCTCCCGGCTCTCTTGGACCGTCTGGAGGGCTTCTCGGGCCCCTCTTGGACCGATTTGGAGCCTTCCTGGGTTCGAAAAAGAGTTCTTGAGGGTTTGTTGGGCCTTCTTGGAGCGCTCTTGGGCCGTCTTTGAGCGGTCTTGAGGGTCTCTCGGGCCGTCTTGGGGTGATCTTGGGGGCCTCTTGGACCGCCTTGAAAGGTGTGAAAGACGAAGAGGCGGATATGTTAAAAATGCACGTTTTCCGGAGGGAATGAGACGGTTTTGTTGGGGCGTCTTGAAGGCCTGTTGGGCCGTCTTGAGGCCATCGTAGGCGTTTGGGAGTGATATTTCGGCGTCTCCCGGCTCTCTTGGACAGTCTCGAGGGCTTCTCGGGCCTCTCTTGGACCGTTTGGAGCCCTCCTGGGCGCCGAAAAGGGACCTTGCCGGGACCTTGCCGGGACCTTGCCGGGACCTCGCCGGGACCTTGCCGGGACCTTGCCGGGACCTTGCCGGGGTACTTTTCGTCCGGGGACCCCCAGCCCGCCGCGCGCGCGCGAACTAGAAATATTGTTGAGCAGTTACCGGAGATCTTAGCACGCCTCTGGCCCGTTGGGCCGGCGAATTTCTTCAGTGATGGGGGCGTTGCTTCGGCGCCCGCGGCGCCTGGGTCAAGGGCGCGCAGTCTGGCCGGAGACTGCGCTGGGCCCGAACGGCGGGCGCCCGAGCGCCTGCCGACGAGGGGGGGGTCGGAAGTCCAGAACGATGCAGTTCGCGACGCCAGGGGGGGGCCGCCGGCCTGGGGAGGAGTGAATGGGCCTGCGGCGGCGCTGCACAAGACGCAGAGCAAGACGGACTGGTGCCCCGCGTCTTGGGGTTCCTGGGCCGCGGGCCCAGGCCAGGATGCTGACGTGAAGGTGCTCGACCCGAAGTTCGAGGCGCCCATGTCTGGGGCGAGTGTCGCGAGGTCTGATGCGAAGCGAGTCGCGCAGCGCCCTGGCTTCCAGGCGCTGGAAGGGCGGCCTCCAGCGTTGGCGCCGTTCCGAGCTGGGCTCGCGGCCGCGCGGAGTAGGGGGGCGTCGAGATGGCGAGCCGCGGAGGGCCTCTCGTGGAAGGGGGGGTAGTCTCTCAGCGCGACCTGTTCGTGGAGCGCGCGGAGGTCGATCCCGTGTGCTGGTGGTGGTGCTCGGCCTTGGGCATGATGCGCAGCGGGCTCTGCTGCTGCGACGCGACCTGCAACTTGGCCAGCGCGCTGGTTCCCCGCGGGTCATGGCCGCGGGGCGTCTGGCGAAGGCTAGCGACTTGGGCGCGCTGAGGCGCCGGGTTGACACAGAGCTCGAGGATGCCGCGCCGGTTGTTGAGACGGCGGAGAAAAGCCCGCGTTGTCTGGGGTCGGTCTTTCAGAGCTGTTGAAAAGTATCGCGTGCGCAGATGGCTCGGTGACGTGCCCCCCGTGTCCCAGACTCGCCCGCTGGGGCTGATCGGCCGTGAACGTCGCGGGGGGCGGCAAAGCGTGCGAGGGCATGTGCGGGCTGGTATCTGGCGACATCCAGGTGTTCGGCTAAGCGGGGTAGTGCGCGATCGTTCGAGTCCTTCGCGGGAGGGGCATCAAGGCGATCTTGATTGTTGGTGACTGCGACGGCGCGGTGGGCGACCGCCTGCCCGGCGGGTCCTGCCGCGCGTCGGCCTGGGGCAAGTGCGGAGTACTAGTGCCGCGTTCTCGATGCGGGGGCCGATAATTTCAATCGCTTCGCTCATTTCGCAGGCCCGTATTGCCATCGCGAGCGTTTGTCTGCGTGTTCGTGGCCTCTGCGGTGCTTTTTTGGGGCCGTTTGGGGGCCTCTCGGGGCTCCATTTTTTGGGCCCCTTGAGGGCTCCGGGGGGCCTCCTGGGTTTTCTTGGGGCCCCTGGGGCATCCTGGGGCCTGGGGCGGAAGGTTCGAATTGGTGGTTCGTGTTTCCCTCTTGGGCCCCTCTAGGGGCTGTCTTGGGCCCCCTTGGGCGATCTTGGGCGCCTCTGGGGCCGTTTCGGGGCCTTCTTGGACCGTCTTGGGGCCTTCTCGGGCGCCTCTCGGGCCGTCTTGGGGCGCTCTTGGGGGGGGGGCTCTGAGCCATCTTGGAGCGTCGGGGCACAAGGACAATCAGTGACTTTTGTCTTTGGGCCCTCTTTGGGCTCCTCTTGGAGCCTCTTGAGACTTCCTTGGGGCCTCTTTGGGCCGTCTTGGGCCGTCTTGGGCGTCTTGAAGTGCTCTTGGACCTGGGTTCCGATTCGTGGGTCCTTTTGGAGCTGCCTTGAGGTTCCTTGGGCCCTTGGAGCTGCGTTGAGGTTCCTTGGGCCGGTCCTGGGGCGATCTGGAGGGCCTCGGAAACCGCCCCCGGGGAGTTCCAGCATCTTCGAAGGGAGTTGGCCGGCTTTTTTTTGCGTCTGGGGCCCCCCGCGGGCCGCCCCGCGCGCGCGGACTAGGACATGCATATTCAGTAACGGGACATCGTATCACGCCTCTGGCCCGTTGGGCAGGCGAATTTCTCCATGGTGGGCGTCGGGGCGCGCGTGTCGTGGCGCCTGACCGGGCTGTCGGGGCAAGTCGGTCCTGGCGCAGCGGGGGCCAAAAGGTGGGCCGCCTCGCGAAGTTCAGGGCGCGCCTTCGCCCGAGAGAGCGGTTTCGCTAATGTGTGGTCCGCTTCCATGCGGCCCGCGAAGCTGCCGCGACTGTTCCGCTCCACCACGAAGTAGTGCTGAACAGCTCGCGGGCTTGGGATGGCTTGAGGCTTCGCAAGGACCGCTGCCAGTGCTCGAGATGTCCCACGGCGCACGCTCCCTCATTTTTGTGGGCGAGTTCGGAGTTGTCTCAGGTGGGGGGCCCGTGGGGCCACCAGAACCAAGGTGCTTACTCTTCCGTGCAAGGGGGTCCCTAGATGTGCAGCCCTGGCGCGCGACTCCCATCGGCTTCGGATCGTTCGTGCTCGTCGAGGCCTTGGGGGGAATGTCGTCGTCGTCGTGGGGTCTCACGGAAATCTGGACGCCGTCGTTTCCTGTGGCCGCTGCGGAGTTAACACTCTGAGTCGAACGGTTGTGTCAAGGCATTTTTGCAAGCCCAGTACTGGTCTGGGATGTGAGGCTCTCGGCACATTGAGAGCGGGGAAGGAACCCCGTTTAGGTAAACATTGGGGGTTGCATTTCCCGATGACGAACCGCCATCGTGCGTACACGGTTTAATTTGCGGAACACGATTTTTCTTTCATGTCGGTTTTGGAGTTTATTTTGGGCGAGATTCTGAGGAGTAGTCGATTTCGGTAACGTCTAAGTGAGTCTCACTGTCTTACACACGAGAGACGAGGATGATGATGATGATGATGATGATGATGATGATGATGATGATGATGATGATGATGATGATGATGATGATGATGATGATGATGATGAGGAGGAGGAGGAGGAGGAGGAGGAGGAGGAGGAGGAGGAGGAGGAGGAGGAGGAGGAGGAGGACAAACTGGGGGTTGGATTTGGGAAGGCCAGAGAGAGAGAGAGGAGGAAGAGGAGGATGAGGATTGACTTGGGACGGGGAGCAGGGTGAGGCAGAGGAGGATGAGGAGGGGGAGATGCAGGGGCAGAAGGAAGCAGGCCTCCCCTGTCGCTTAGTCTCGTGTCGTCGCTGGTGGGCCTCGCCGTCGTCGTGTTGTCGCCGGGGCGTGGGGAGCGAGGGGGTTGGTGGGTGGGGCAGGGTGGGGGTGATGAAAAGCAGGTGGTCGTGGATTTAGTTAGGGGACGTGGGCAGGGTGGTGGTGGTGGTAGGGGGTGCGGGCAGGGGTGTGCGGGCGGGGACGGTGTGGCGGACAAAGGATGTGTGTGAGGAGCGGAGGGGGGCAGATGGCATGGGCGAAGGCTGACCAGAGGCCCAGGGGGCCGGTGCCTCGGGGCCTTTGGGAGCGACGATTGGTGAGTGATGGGGCTGCGCGAGCCGAGACGGCGAGAAGGGGCATGAAGGGAGATGGGGAGGGAGGGATGGATAGAGAGAGAGAGAGAGACGGGGTCAGGGAGGTACGGGGAGGGACCGGACGAGGCGGTGCTGGACGCGTACCTGGAGAGCGGCGAAGCTCCCTCCGTTGCCGACCTGAAGAAGTGCATCCGCAAGGCCCGAGCCCCTTCTCTCGGCGCCACCCCAACATACTTACTATATGTGCGTCGCCCCCCCAGGGGCGACGCGCGCACCGATGAATCTTATACAGTATATTCGGGGGTGGACAGAACCCCCAACAGTGACACGTCGATTAGTGAATTGTCCGTGTTCGGTTCTCGAGAGGGCGCCGTGGTCGTTACTTTCCAGTCTTGCGCCCGCCAGGTTTGGGCCTCAGGTCGTTTTCACTAAACCACGTTTTACTAAAGGGGGGTCTGTCCATCCCCGGTCTGTGCGTCGTGGCGGTCGCTTTCTGGCCACGCCGCTCGGGAAACGATATGAACTGCAAGATGGGTACATTATACGTTCGGGTCGGACGCGCGCCTCCGAGGAGGACATATGGTATTGGCATGTCCCCGTGCGTCCCATACTCCCCGCTCTCCGTACACGCCGGTCGCTGAAAGTAGGTATTCTTGGATTCCCAGATCCCACTCTATTTCAAGCGCCTTCTACTTCAAGAATCGACATGCTTTTGCTGCGCTTTGTTATTCTCTGGGAGGGCCTGGACCCAATCAACTCAATCCGCCTTCCTACCTCATGCTTTTACCTACTTCTTCCGACCGACGTGTATGCCTCGCGCTGTCGACGCTGTCTCGGCGGCCTCGCGCCGCAGGCCCGAGGCGGCGGCCGGCCGCCCGTCGCCGCTGCCCCCGTGGCACCCCGGCGTGTCGTGGCGGTCGCATCGCATGGCATGGCGTTGCGGTCGCAGGGCGCTGCACTGCCACGCGCTGTTCTGCACCGCGCTGCATAGGAGGAGGAGGAGGAGGAGGAGGAGGAGGAGGAGGAGGAGGAGGAGGAGGAGGAGGAGGGAGGAGGAGGAGGAGGAGTTGTAGGCCACCACCTCTTCCCCACCACACAGCTTGCACCACACACACGCACGCACGCGCTGCATCACACAGATTGTACAGCGTCTCGTGCGACAAATGGGCTGCGCCACACACAGATTGCACCGCACAGCTTATACCACACACATTATTGCGCCTCATCGTTGCACCACATGTACTGCACCACATGTTGCACCACGTAGAGCGCACCACATGGCTTACACCGCATGGTTTTCATCACATCGACTGCACCACATAACTTGCACCAATAAGTTTGAAACACAGATATTGCACTACATAGCTTACATAACGTTGCTATCACCACATGTATTGCACCACACAGAGTGCACCACATATATTGCACCACATAGTTTGAACCACATAGCTCGCATCACACTATTGCACCACGTATATTGGCCAATCTAGCTTGCAACATTTACACCAGATCGTCTGCTTCAGCATACTTTTCGGGGCCCACGCTAGCTAATAAACGCACACACATGCTTGCATATACATGTATAGGTATATGTCTCTCTCTATATATATATAGAGATGTACATCTACATCTGGTAGAACCACGCGCGCGCTTCGCGCGCAATTCGGTTCTAGCAAGTCTGAAGTGCTCAGCGTCGGAAGACATGCATTGTCACACGGATCGTGCCCCTCGGGGAGCTCCACCGACGGCCCCAGATGCGTGCGGCTTGGCGTCCCTTCGCCCATACCTGCACACCGCTCAGAGGGATCGCGCCCCACAGGGATCTCCACCTGCGTCCCCAGAGTAAAAGGTTCGCACAGTGGCACGGCCCTCGCGCGGGTCGCGCCCGGCAAGCAACTGTGTTTGCGGCACCAGAGCGAAGCTTCGTAGCGTCGCCAGGTTTACTTTGGCACAGTTCTCACACGGATTGGCCCGCAGATAGTTCCACGGACGGTCCTATAGGCAAGATTCGCACGCCGCCCCCCACCCCCTTCTATTTAGGCACATCACTCGCACGGATCGTGGCCCACAGGGATCTCCACCTAGGGCCCCAGGGGCAGGGTTCGCATCGCGCCCCCACGCCCATGGCGGCACACGCCATCACGCGGATCGTGCACACAAGGAACACCACCTAAAGGCCCAGAGACGAGATTCGTACTGCGCCCCCCCACCGCACATGTTGGCACACCCGTCACGCGAATCAAGCCCCAGAAGGAGCTCCACCAATGGCACCAATGGGCGGCTTCGCATGGCGCCCCCCCGCCCATTTCGGAACATGCCTCGCACGGGTCGTGCCCACAGGAGGTCCACCTGCGGCCTCAAAGGGCGTGTTCACGCGGGGGGATTCGAATCATGCTGCACACCATTCACGCGGATCGTGCCCACGAGGGAGGAGTTCAGCTCACCCGTGCAGTGTGCTCCGCAGCAGCCCGCTGTCCGCATCTCCGCGCAGAGCGCAATGCATGAAGAGAGGTCCGTGCCCTGCGCTGTACATGACTGGATGGGTCCGTCGCAAATCCAATTGCTTGCTTATCTATGGCCTTCGGGCCATACCGCTGCTGTGCCTGAGTTTTGGGCCAGAGGAATCTTGGATACCTGTAGTTCGGGGTCTATTGGCATGCTTCTCGGCCGCCTCGTGGAGCGATTTTGAAAGCTTCTGAGGGCCGCTTGGGACCGTTTGGGGGTCTCTTGGGGCCATTATGGGGGCCCTGCGGGGCCTCTTGGGGGCCTGCTGGCGGCCAAGGGGCCACTGGGAGCGGAGGGCTCGACATGTCAGTCAGAGTTCCCTCTTTTGGATCCCACTTGTGGCCCTCTTGTGCCGTCTTGGGCGCTCCTTGGATCGTCTTGATGCTCTCGTGGGCTGCCCTGGGGCCCTCTTGAGGGCCTCTTGGGCCGTCTTGGGGCGATCTTTGGGGCCTCTTGGGCCGTTGTGGACGCTGATAAGACCTCAAATGCGAATCTGCTAAAAATCTAAGTTCCCGACAGGAATGGAACACATTTGGCCTCCTGGGGCGCTCTCGGGGCGCATCTTGGGAGCCTCCTTAGGACGCCTTCGGGGCCTCCAGGGCCGTCTTGAGACACTACTCGGGTGTCTTCGGTCCTGTCAGGCCGAACTGGTCGCTTTTGGTTGGCCTCCAGAGCTGTTTTGAATGGCGGAAGGGATGCCCGGGATGCCCTGGAGGGGGTCAAAGAATGTCGTGGGCACAAATGGGGGGGAAACTGGAAGGGTGTCTGCCAGGGCCCCGGGCCCCCAGTCCCCCAGCCTTTACACACATACACGCAGGCACACAGGCACACAGGCACACACATACTTTTTTACGTCGGCGGCTAGGCAGACGGACTGCGCTGGCGGTAGGATCAACGAACGCGAGTTAGGCCGCGATGCACGAGGGGGGAGGAGGAGGACGCCCGGCGGTGGCGGGGGGGAGACGAGAGCCGGGCCCGCTCAGAGCAGGGTCAGGCGCGCGGCTGGGCGGCGCCGGGGGTGGGGACCAGCAGCAGCGGGGCGGCAGCTGGGGGGGGGGGAAGCCGGCATGGCAGGCTGCCAGGCAGCAGCTTGTGCTGGAGGGCAGTGCCCATCAAAAGCTGGAGGCGAAGGTGTGCACGCAGCGCCAAGGGCCAGCGGGTGCCGAGGTCACGCGAGCCTCACGTGAGTACCTGGGGCAGCGGCGACCAGTAGGAGACCGCGCAGGCACACACGCACGAGCACACACACATACGGACACACGGACACACGGACGAACGGACACACGGACACGCGGGCACACGAACACACGGACACACGGACGAACGGACACACGGACACGCGGGCACACGAACACACGGACACACGGACACACGGACACCCGGACACCCGGACACATACACAGACACAAACAGACGCACACAGACACATACGGACACACGGACACACGGACACACACGGACACATGGACAGATACGGACGCACAGACACACAGACTCACACCGACACGCACAGACAGGCACACATAGACAACACAGAGACACACAGACACACACACAGACACACACACACATAGACACAGACAAAAACAGCCACACAGACACGCACACACACACGCAGACACATACAAGCACACAGACATACACACAGACACGCAGACACAAACAGATACACGCACAGACACACACATACACGTAGGGACACACGCAGACGCAGACACAAACAGCCACACTCACAGTCACACGCAGACACACAGACACACGCACAAACACACAGACACACTTTTTTCTGTGTCGGCGGCTGGGCTGACAGACACACACACAGGCACACAGACACACAGACAGACACACACACACACGGTTACACAGACACACACACACACGGACACACACAGACACACACACAGACACACACAGACACAGACACACGCACATACAGGCACACACTGACACAGACACATACAGCCACACACAGACACACGCACACAGACGCAGACACACAAAAACACAGACACACACAGAAATACAGACACACACAGACACACAGACACACACACACACATACGGACACACACAGACACACAGACACAGACAGCCACACACAGACACACGCAAACACACGCAGCACACAAACACACAAACACCCTTTTTTTGCGTCGGTTGCTGGGCATACAGACACACACAGCCACAGAGACACACACAGACACACACAGACACACAGACACACACGGACACATACAGACACAAACAGACATTCACAGACACACGTACACAGACACACACAGACACAGACACACAGACACGCACACACACAGACACACACATACACACGCACACGCGCACACACACACACGACACACGCACACACGCACACACACGCGCTCACACGCACACGCACACACACACACACACGCACAGACACACATGCACACACACACACACGCAGACACACGCACACTTTTCAAAGTCCGCGGCGCAGAGGATCCTCGAGCGCGAACAGCAGATGGAAATGCTAATCGCGACCGAGCATTGCCGATAGCGCAGCGTTCAAGCGTTGCGCACTGCAAACTGCAAGCGATGGGTGTGCTAGAGGAAAGGGATGGTTAGTTCAAACGAACATGCAGCGGCCAGAAGACGAGAATAATACCCATTTCAAAGTAAGCTGAAGCGTTACAGCCTGAGGCTAATTGCGACCA